GTCATACTCACAAGATCCGCAAGACCCACAAGACCCACAAGATCCACAAGACCCACAAGACCCACAAGACCCACAAGACCCACAAGACCCGTAAGGCCCGTAAGACCTGTAAGACCCGTAAGACCCGTAAGACCCGTAAGACCCGTAAGACCCACAAGACTCGTAAGACCCACAAAACCCGTATGACCCACAAGACCCGTATGACCCACAAGACCCGTAAGACTCACAAGACCCATAAAGCCCACAAGACGCGTAAGATCCAGAAGAGCCGTAAGATCCGTAAGACCCACAAGACCCGTAAGATCCACAGGACCCGTAAGACCCACAAGACCCACAAGACCCGTAAGACCCGTAAGACCCTTAAGACGCACAAGACCCGTAAGACCCACAAGACTCGTAAGACCCACAAGACCCGTATGATCCACAAGACCCGTATGACCCACAAGACCCGTAAGACTCACAAGACCCATAAGGCCCACAAGACGCGTAAGACCCACAAAACCCGTAAGACCCACAGGACCCGTAAGACCCACAAGACCCGTAAGACCCACAAGGCTCGTAAGACCCACATGACTCATAAGACCCACAAGGCCCGTATGACTCACAAGACCCGTAAGACCCACAAGACCCACAAGACCCGTATGACCCACAAGACCCGTATGGCCCACAGGACCCACAAGACCCGTAAGACCCACAGGACCCGTAAGACCCACAGGACCCGTAAGACCCACAGGGCCCGTAAGACCCACAAGACTCGTAAGACCCGCAAGACCCACAAGACCTACAAGGCCCGGAAGACCCGCAAGGCTCACAAGATCCGGAAGACTCACAGGACCCACGAGACCCGCAAGACCTGGAAGACTCACAAGACTCGTAAGACCCACAAGACCCGTATGACCCACAAGACCCGTATGGCCCACAAGACCCACAAGACCCGTATGACCCACAAGACCCGTATGACCCACAAGACCCGTATGACCCACAAGACCCGTATGGCCCACAGGACCCACAAGACCCGTATGACCTACAAGACCCGTATGGCCCACAGGACCCACAAGACCCGTATGACCCACAAGACCCATATGACCCACAAGACCCGTAAGACCCACAAGA